TATAATAAGAAGATTAAACTAAAAATTATCTTTATAAAAACATTATATTATTATACCTAAAACAAATTACTTCGTTATTAAACCTTAAATTAATTATACGATAAAAAAAAATTATGGGTCTTAAATGTTATATCTTATTCAAATATAAAAACATTATCGTTTTCTCAAAAACATATTATAAATGAAACATTACGATTGAGATGTATTTCGCTGCATTGTGCAAGTAAGATTGTACTATATTAGATATGAGAATAAAATATATGTATTTGTATATTAGTGCCAAGTTTAATTGGACTTCAAACTGTTTAAAAAAAACTCATCTGGCGTGTGAAAGCAATTTTAGACATTAAACAAGTCGTATAGTGGTAGATCCAAGATTTTTGTCGAATGGATGTACCTTTAAGGTGGATTAACGGCATGTAAAGTAATATGTTTGTTTTTAGTCGTATTCCACAGTTTCTAAAGATTTTTTTAAGTTTTTTGGTTGAATTGAAGTGATTTTTTTTATTAACCTGGATATCCAACCCGCTATGCGATGCGACAAATCCCAGGGCGACCACCTGTTTTGCATATAGCCTGGAGTCACTGCATTTGAACCTCCGTGGCCACAAGAGGATTTTTATTCCTCCTTGGATTTGAATTTTGGACCTCCTGGTACTTTTGACTTTTAGAGCCAAGCTCAAACCAATCAGGCACCACCCTTGTGGTTATTGAAGTGATTTTTTCGATTTCTTTGGTTGAATTCCTTGTATTTTCTAATATCTCGGAGCACCCCTCAAAGTTTAACAGGTGTACTTTTCATGCCCAAAATAAATCTATTTACGAAAATAAGTTGAGCGGGTGCACAGGACCCCATTCCGGATTTAATAGATCAACCAAAATGGTCGTTCCAATCTTTCAAATTCTCTTGGCCAAACCCTAAGCGGTTCGAATTCAAACTCTAGTTTTACAAACCGATGGCATCGTAATATGGTTCGATACTGGTTTTGTAACGTCTGTAACATCTTCGTGAATGTTCATAATGTTTTGATTCATCAGGTTCTTCGAGCTATCTTGTTTCGTTTCTTGTTGGTTGTGTTTGCACCCATCTGACGGGACCCGAAAATGAGTAGATTAAGTGCATGTCGAATAACATGATTATGGATATATGGGATCTACGAGTTTATTGGTCGTACTAATAGTTATGGATATATTCACCTCGTTACAAATATTTATAATGAAATTTTACGAATACGTTGTTACAACTGTTTACGAAGGCATCCAGCATTTAAGAAAATACAAGTATTGCAACACACAGCATTGCTTCTAATGAAGGAAAGAATTATCGTCAAACGTGTGAATTATACTGCTTAACTCACACCGTTGTATGAATTGACATGTGTAAGCATATCATAAAGAGGTTGATACAAAAACCATAAACCGTACCCAACATCAAAACCAATTTCGTAGCCCACAAATCGTAACCAAAATCACAACCTTTTGTAATCTGTAACTTTAATTTGTATACTTTTCGTAAAAGGTTAGGTCTCGATGCTCTGCCCAAAGGTTCATCAGTTCGAGTCGCATAACTGAAATTTTTTTGGCTGTTTTCTTCCTTCAACGAAATCTTACTTCCATGATGTGGTATATCCAACACAGTGACATAGTAATTTGGTTGGGTTGATAACACAACTGACGTGATATTTAGGAGCCGTTTACAAAACGCTTACTCGGTAAATGAACACCAAGTCATATTACCTTACCGGATGAATATGGTAAGGATCAAGAATCTTATCCGGTAAGAGCGAGACAAGGACGAAGAGTCTTACTTGGTAAGTGAGGGCGACGACTCTTACCAAGGTAAGTGTTTATCGGGTAAATTGTTGCATACGATACCGTTTTGGTGGACTAAAATCTTATCCAATAAGTAAATGATAGTGTTAAGTTTACCGGTAAGTGCTTACCGGGTAAGTGTTTGGTCAACAGCCCCTTAGTTATTTAGTCATTATATTTATACGTAAAAGATATAAAAAAAAGATATATAAACGGTATAAAAATTGAAACTTTGTATTTTATACGTATATGCATATTTACGTATCTTCACGTAAGTATTTATACGTATATATGTGTACGGTTTAAAACCCGTACGCATATTTGCGTATATTTACGTACGTATTTATACATATATGTGTACGGGTCAACACCCGTACGCATATTTACGTATCTTCACGTAAGTATTTATACGTATATATGTGTACGGTTTAAAACCCGTACGCATATTTACGTACGTATATATGTGTACAGGTTAACACCCGTACGCATATTTACGTATCTTCACGTAAGTATTTATACGTATATATGTGTACGGTTTAAAACCTGTGTGCATATTTACGTACGTATTTATACGTATATATGTGTACGGGTTAACACCCGTACGCATATTTACGTAAAAAAAAGCGATATAAATTGCGGTAACGTGTGTATATATATATATATATATATATATATATATAGAGAGAGAGAGAGAGAGAAAGATGCGTAACTTTAAAAAAACGATATAAATTACGGTAAATTATATATATATATGCATAACGTAGAAAAAAACGATATAAATTGCGGTAACGTATATATATATATATATATACAGAGATGCATTACGTAAAAAAAAAGATATATAAACAGTACAAAAATTGAAATTTCGTATTTTATACGTATATATGTGTACAAGTTAACACCCGTACGCATATTTACGTATCTTCACATAAGTATTTATACATATATATGTGTACGGTTTAAAACCCGTACGCATATTTACGTATATTTACGTACATATTTATACGTATATGTGTACGGATTACACCCGTACGCATATTTACGTAAAAAAAACGATATAAATTGCGGTAAAGTATATACATATAGAGATGCATTACGTAAAAAAAAACGATATAAATTGCGGTAACGTATATATATATATAGAGAGAGAGAGATGTGTAACTTTAAAAAAACGATATAAATTGAGGTAAATTATATATATATATGCATAACGTAAAAAAAGATATAAATTGCGGTAACGTACATATATACAGAGATGCATTACGTAAAAAAAAGATATATAAACGGTACATAGATATATATATATATATATATATAGATAGATACATATATATATAGATAGATACATATATATTGAGAGAGATAGATGCATATACATATATATATAGATAGATAGATACATATACATATAGAGATAGATAGAGTATTTACCGGTGTTTCCATAGTAGCGGCGGAGGGTGGTGGATGGCGGCGGTTGACGGTGGTCGGTGGCGGCGGATGGTGGCCGACGGCGGCGGATCACGGTGGTCGGTGGCGGTGGAAGGTCGCCGATGTCGTTATACGGTGGTCAGTGGCGGCGGAAGGTTGCCGATGTCGTTATACGGTGGTCTCGATTTTTCGCTCAGTTTTTCCAGAGAAAACAAGCGGTGGTGGGGATGGATGGTGACTTATGGTCCCCCACCGCCAATTTATATAAAACGTTAAGTAATAAAACAAAATTCATCGTCAAATCGACGTCATAGAGTGTCATAACATGAAAAACCGCGAAATCAAATATAATGTCTGATTTTTTCTCCCAAAATCAGCTTTTTTTTTTCCGTAACCACAATTACCATTGTCTTATTTTATACCGAAAAACCATGAAATTTAAAATTAAATACGTAAAAAGACACATTTTATGTATTTTTCCATTTTTATTAAAAACACCATTTAATTGTTAAATAAAAAACACAAAATGATGAAATAGAGG